CCCCCCGATGGCCCAGCTTGCTGCCGGTGCCCTCGAACTGAACCGAAGCAGTCGGCGTGACAAAGGTGGTGTGGTTCTGGGGGTGCCTCTCGGGGTGAGGTAGTCGGTTATCCGTTGTCTGTGGCGTAAAATCTTAAACCCCCTGCGGTATTCCAGTGGTGCCCAGCGACAGGACAAGGGGCAACGGGCACAAACTGAAGCAGAGGAAGTTCCAGCTGAACACGAGGAAGAACTTCTTCCCTCTGAGGGTGATGGAGCCCTGGCCCAGGCTGCCCAGGGAGGCTGTGGAGTCTCCTTCTCTGGAGATATTCCAGACCCACCTGGACGCGGTGCTGTGCAGCCTGCTCTGGGTGACCCTGCCTGGGCAGGGGGTTGGGCTGGGTGACCCACAGAGGGCCCTGCCAACCCCGACCAGTCTGTGATTCTGCAATAGCGATCAATGGCAGCTGTCTTTCCCTCCAGAACACTATTTGTAGAGGAAATTGAGTCACTTAGGGCAGTAATAAAAAGAAAAGGGGCAGCCAGAGCCCAGCTGCTTTGCAGGGTACCAGCAGGCACGGGGGTCTCCTGTCGTGGAGGCACCAAATGCCGAGCCCGGCTGGGGTGGCTGCTTTAGGCAGGGAGCGTAGCACTCTCTGCTGGAATAGCATCATGGATTATCCTAAAAACATCCTCTACTACCATGGTATCACCCCCTGTAACTTGCAATGAGGTCCTTAAGAGAAGCAAAGCTAAAGGAAGGACAAGTGAAGATTCTGCCTCATGCCGAAGATATTGTAATATTTTTTCAAAGATATTGTAGTATTTATTAAAAATGACCCTCTTGCAGATTTTATTTTTTAAATCTTTCAATATATGTGCTTTTTCCCGTAGAAATAAAGAACAACAGCAATATAATGGTAAAATATCATCCTAAATTCTGGACAGAGGGGATTTATCAGTGCTGCAGACAGACAGAAAAACTAGCACCTGGCTGTGAAAAATACAATCTTTTTGAAAACAGTAAGTACATAGGTCTTCATATGAAGTTGTTTTCGTATATTTTTCTGCTTTTTTGGATGATCCTGTCACACCGCCTGAATGCTCTAGATATTAGGCAAGCGTATAGAGCAGAGTGAATCGTTGATACTCTGCCTAAAGTAAATTGAAATGTTTGTTTCATTTCAAAGCATTTCGTAAAAATTATAAAAGCCAGTGAATTGTCCTTCCGAAAAAATGTTTAGAAAAAGCTGGAAGGAATCACGGAGGTTGCTGAATTTATTCTTCACTTTTTTTTTTCCCATCTGAAACTTCTTTGACCAAGTGTTTGCCTCAGACTGAGCATAAAACCTGGTGATGAGAAAGGTTCAGCCAGAAATCCTCACCAGCTCTTCGGTTTTCATAAATAACTTCTGCGTACCCTTGTCAAAAAAGAAAAACCATCTGTTTGCTGTTCCTACGCCAGTGTCACAGTGATACCTGAAGGCTTCGTGTATTTGCAGACGCAGGAATGAACTTTCTGAGAGGAGTGGCTCTGACAGGAGTAATAAAAACCACGTGAAACTTCTGTGCCGTATTTAGCGAAGCAAGGGTCAGGGGGAGCACTGGCTTTTTTAGAAGAGCAGATGTTGAAGGAGCAGACCTTTAGAACATCACGGTGACAAGAGCACTGCTTCCTTCTCATATACCTTTTTTTATCTCTATCACTTTTTTTATTTCTCATATTTCTGCGTCCGAGGGCTGGTTCAGGGATCTGTGTGTGACGCGCTCAGATGTGGACACAGATATTGGCCAAATCCCGTGGCAAATTTACTGATTTTACTTTACTGAATTTACTGCTGTCTGATTTACGATGTTTCTTCAAGAATATTTAATCAATGTTTTCCTAATGCTTAACTGGAGCTGTCTTTTCTTTCTGACGTACTCCTGAAGGCTAGTTAAGATATTGAAACCTTATCTGAAATTTAAACTTTTTATTCAGTTTTTAATGTTATAGCTAAGTGGATAGAAACCAATCCTTTCCTGTGCTCTGTTTCTAGGTGTAATGAGATTGCCCTCTCCGATGCCAGAAAAAAGCGCGGTAGGTAGTGTCTCGAAAATACTGAATAGATAATTGCTGGGTTCTGAGATGGAGTTTGGATCTCTGGAGGTTCATTCCATACCCTATGGCAAAGATCTGTTTCTGTACGTGTTGGTGGGCATCACGCTCTATCTCAGGGTGGAAAAAAATCCCACTGAAATTTAGCTGCCCCGGTTAGCTGTGTCTGCTGCCGGTGGGAGAGGTGGTCGGAAAGCAAGAGCGAGCAGTATTGTCACTGCCTCTCCTGGCCACCGTGGCTCGCTCCTGGGCAACCCGAGCCAGCCCAGCTTCTGCCCCCAGGATACTCCACTGGTTTGCACTGGTGTGGTGGGATGGAGTGATGGAGCGGGACGATAATAACGTTGGGTCGTTTTCAGCGAAGGCCTCCGCCGCCTGTTCCTCCGGTTGAAGAAAATGGCAACGAAGAGGAGGAGATAGTGGTGGCAATGTACGACTTTGAGCCTACAGAACATCATGATTTGAGATTAGAGAAAGGTGAAGAGTACACAGTGATTGAGAAGAACGATATTCACTGGTGGAAGGCGAGAGACAAATACGGGTAAACACGAGTTCCTTACAAATACGGGTAAACACGAATTCCTTATTTTTTGTTACAAAGTGCATACAGCTGTTTCCATGTTGTAGAAGATTATATTGGCTGTGTGTCAACAAATAACTCTATTAGACCCTACTTTGGACCCTAGTCCTGAAATCTCATCCATATCTTTATTCCCACATAGAAACCGATTTTAAAATTGCGGTTCTCGATAGATTGCGGGGCCTGAGTGCAAAGATGGCTGCAGAACTGGAAGCTTTTCCAATTATATCTCCTGTCAGACTTTATGGTTTGGTAATTAAAGCACCAGCCATCCTGCAAAACCTCGCCAGACTGGTACAGCGCTCCCGCTTCCCTGGGGAACGGCTCGTTAGGGAGCAATATGATTAACATCCAGCTCAGCAGGCTCCAACGCCAGACTTGAATAATCATCATCTTATTTAACGGCTGGATCATCAGGGGCAATCTCTGAATGAGCTGAGAGAGAGCTGCAGTGAGATGCCTGAATGACCACAACTTTACATTCCCCGGATTGAAATTTTTTTCCTTGGGGTTTTCAAGGTGGAATTTCCCATGCTTCAATATTTAGCAGGTCCCTGTTGCAGTACATTAGGGGTCATGGCGGGTTATCAGGCTGTGGTGGGCTCCAGTTGCGTTTCCAGTTAACTGACTGGGACCTCCGAGCGCAGAAGTGGCAGAGCAGCACTTCTGCTGGTTTTCTCGGACGCTTTGGCTGCCTGTGTTACTTCTCTAGGTGCAGTGAGATTTAATCTGGAAATGTTGACACTGAAAATCAGTCTCTGTGTAATCAGCAGTAGAGTGGGAGGGTCAGTAATAAATGACAGCGAGGGACCTCTGGTAAATAGCAGAATGAAACACTGTCTTCTAAGCAAGCGATTTTACATGTTTTTCACTCAGATTATTTATTATATTTTTTTTAGAAAACAAGGATATATTCCAAGCAACTACGTAACAGGAAAGAAGTCCAACAACCTTGATCAATATGAGTAAGTGAATATTTGAATTAAAATCTGGAAGATCATAAAATGGAGCCTGAGCTTTAAGAATGACAACATATTTTTTAAGTTTTCAAAGCAATTCTTTATATACGATAGCACTGATCTCAGAGACAAAACTTAAATATTTGAAATAGGCATATATTTGTTCTGATTCTCATCATTGATTTTGCTGTGATTTATAATGCGGAGTCAAGTCAGCGAGACGGCCATCAAGCATTTAGCTTTTAGGCTACTACTATTAAAGCAAAAAAACCCCTCACAGTTGTCTGATAGATAAAGGGAAACTTTAATGGAAATTTTCCCGTTATAAAGACTCAGAATGTTCTTTTAATATTAAAGTGGCACGTCTATCCAAAATGCGTGGCAGTAAGACAGAGAAGAAAACCCTGGAAATCATTCAAAGTGAACTTAACAGATCAGAGATTTTTGGAAGGCCGCTCTAATTTTCAAGAAAATATATCACTCCGTGCATTTTAAGTTTCAGTGGAGGCACATAGTGCTTTTTCCCAGTTGATGCTCAATTATGGAGTACTTAAGCACATCAGGATAAAATTTAACCCTGTAGTCTCCAAGTTTGTTGTTCTTGATATTCAAATTTCAATACAGCATGAACTGTTGAGCCTGAGAACTTAAGACACGTTTCATGACTCTTAGATAAAATAGAGCTGTAAGGAAATAGTAAAATAAAAATAAAAAACTAAGGAAATAGTAAAATAAAAATAAAAAACTCTACTCTCAGCCACGTATGGCTCCTCCCACTGTATTTTGACAGCAGGTAGAATTTCTCCTGCGATTTTGCCCGCAGCTTTACTAGAGGGGATTGCTTGCCCTCTGTTTCTTTCTCATCGGTGAAGCTCATGCTGAGAGCCCTGCCCTGCTCAGGGCTGGCAGAACGAGAAGGAAGGAACTGGGCTGCCTTATCGCCTCCAGCCACCCTGTGCCTTGCCGCCTCGGGGCCGTAATTCTGAGTCACCGCGCTCCCCGGGGACGATTACTCCAGTTCATCTACCAACTGCAAGAAACCACCGTGTCCGGGATGGCAGAACTCGCTTGGAGCCTGCCGTGCCACTTCCCTGCTCGGTCACCGCTGGGTGACCGATTGCGCGTGCCGTTCGTGAGCTGCGTGCTTTTCCTTTTTTATATATTATTTGCTGCAGCTGGCTGAAAGATCAGCGCTTCTGTGACTGCTGTAACCTGCCCGAGCTCGGGGATGCACGATCTGAACTTTTAATTTGCTTTCAGCCTCTTCTTTGGTAGGTGGGTCCTCCCTGGAAAATCAGAACCGTGAGGTTGTGGGATGAAATGGCAGTTGAGCTGCCAGCCTGCCCTGGGGCTGCTGTTCAGAGCAACGGCCGCCATCCGCCCGTGCACGTTCAAGAGATGCTTTTCCTGAGAAATTAGTTCCCTTACCTGAACTTCATTGGCTTCTGTGGGATCTCACTGGATTTGTTATGGAGTATTTTTATGGGATAACTGCACAATGTAGAATCATAGAATCACAGAATGCTTGGGTTGGACGGGACGGTCCTCTAGCCCAACCCCCCCTGCAGTGAGCAGGGACATCTCCAACCAGACCAGGTTGCTCAGAGCCCCGTCCAACCTGGCCGTGATAGTTAATGAACAAAAATCAGTCTTTAAAGTTCAGTTGTTGACCTTTGTTGTTGTCAAATTACTGAATCTGTAGCTTTGTAATACCTTGCTTGAAGCATCTTGCGGAAATCACGCACTTTGGAGAAGTTTTGGTGACGGATGTTGTGTTGCAGGTGGTACAGCAGAAACCTGAACAGAAGCAAGGCAGAGCAGCTCCTCAGGAACGAGGTGAGCACAGCAGCCTTCCGGTACTAACCATGGAATTCGGGTGAAGTAGCTTCTTTTTATGAAAGCAAGTGCTTGTTTTGGCATTGCGCAAATCACAGGACGAGTAAAAGAGACATTTAGCTTAAAACCACTTGCACAAAGCTGTCGGTGTGCTTGCGTTTCAGGATAAAGAAGGTGGTTTTGTGGTGAGAGACTCCAGCCAGCCTGGCCTGTACACGGTTTCCCTTTATACAAAATTTGGAGGGTGAGTTTCTGCGGCTGCTCGGCACACCTCGTCTCGCCCGAATCCATTTGCATCCATATCCAAATCCACGGGCGGGAGGAAAGCCCAGGAGAGAGCTCAATAAAGAAACGAGGGCTGCTGTGATAGAAAAGACAGGGGACTAAAATAAGCTTCTTGACTCCATGGTTAGGTCATGTTTGGTTTCGTCCAGCGTAGCCCTGAACCTCCACCCAAAGGTCCTCTCTCCCGCCCCGTGCGGTCTCTTCCCTCCTGCCAGCCCAAGCGCTTGCGTCAACGTGTGGTGAGCTGGGTCGGGGAGCTTGCTGGGCTGAAAATTAACCTTTTGTGGGTTAATCTTCAACATGGCCTGAGCACTGAGATGAAGGCGAGTCACCAGCGCTTGGGATCTTAAATATTCAAGCTGCTCCTGACACATGTGATGTTGGACACTGCACTGGGCCTTCTGGTTTCCTTTTCATAGCCAATGTGCTCCTCTTAACCATTAGTAATAACGCAGTGCCATTTGTTGTGAAGTTTCTGTTAGTGTTATCGTTATTATTGCTGTTATTTTTCCAGAGAAGGTTCATCAGGAATAAGACACTACCATATAAAAGAAACGGTGACGTCGCCGAAGCAGTACTACCTCGCAGAAAAACACGTCTTCAACTCCATTCCTGAAATAATTGAGTATCATAAACACAACGCGGCAGGTAGATGGCTTGGATTTTTCCTGTTGCTTAGGGTTGATTTGAAAAGGGGTTTGAGGTGGGTTTAGTTGGTTTTTTTTTAATGAAGGTTTTTAGGTTTGTATAGATCCTTCTTTCTTAGGGAAGTCATGAGACATTGCATTTTTCATTTTTTCAATATAGGCAATGATTTAAAATGTTTTATGTAAAAAAAAAAAACAAAAACACAAAGAAAGTTTTTGTCCCCAGAGTAATCGAAGAACAGCTGTATTCAGTCAGGAAAATTCATTCCTTCAGCTCCACATCTTTTCTCCAACAGCTGCCTGTAGCCCGCAGCAGATGGGTAGGGCTGGTACGTCCCCGGAGTATTCGCCAGGCACTAGCTTATTTCACCTGCAGGTCTCTACCCCTTAAAATGATCTTACCTTTCCCTGTAGCACACAGGTGAGGGCAATAGTGATGTATTGTTCAGGAAATCCCTAAAGATGAGTCTCTGTAAAGGTGAGACACTTCAGGTCTATAGCTGGCCGCTGATGCTGGTGTCCTCCCACTGTACGATAGGATGGGGAGAACTTAGCAATTAGATTCAAGGCACAGATACTATAGTATACTTTTTTTGAAGTCAATTCTGTGCATAAATTTCCCTTGTGAGCTCTATTCTCTAGATGTTTATATCAAATTTATATCAAATTCAGATGACCCAGCGTTTCCTGATGATGTTCTGGAAAAGGCCTTTCTGTGAGACATGCTCTAAAATGTCACCCTGCTTTTCCTTTATTATAACTAATTTTACTACTTGTTTTTTGCTTGCTTGGTTGCTTTTACCTTAGGCCGTGTCGAGTTCTGACAAGATTTTAGGAGCATATTCAGCTAGCGTGCAGCGTTTATTTTGCAGATGTAAAATCCCCTGTGAAACGAGTGGGATTTACGTGTGTGAAGCAGAAATGATCAAAAGTAACGCTGAGAGTACGCGTTTTGGATAATCTTTCTGATCCGAAAGGGCTCCGCAGGCTTTGTTTGTGCCAGCATGACTGTAAAGCACAGATACATACGCGTACATCCGTGTCCACCTCTCACTGGTACAGCAGCAGCAGCGAGCTGGACGCAGGGAGTGCTCCCGTGTGCCTCTCGCAGCCACTCTGAGTAGCCAAAACAAGGCAAGAGCAGAAAATACGGGCAAAGCTTTCTCTCATAAGCTCATTGTTGCTCAGCGTTGAAGCCTGCGGTGAACAAGTGGCTACTTCAGCAGTAACCTGGGTCTCTCCAACTGTCTTTGAACATCAGGTCTCGTCACCAGGCTGCGTTACCCAGTGACCCCAAAGAAGACGACAGCGCCCACGACCGCAGGATTCAGCTACGGTAATTGCGCGTCGCATTAACCTACACGTATCTTTTCTCACGGTTTTCTGCGTGTAAGTTGCCACAATATTTTCTAAAAACTTTGAAAAGACCTGATTTGGTACTGTGATTGCCTGCACTAACTGACGAGGGTCCAAGTTGTGCCGTGGAGGACGGGCGTGAGAAGGTGTCTTGGCTGGTGGTAGGCGCGTGGTGCCCCGGGCAGCAGCGAGGAGACGCAGGACGCGTCACCGCTGCTCCGGGGGAATTCGACATCTCCCTCTGCACTTTTGTGGACGCCTTGAACACTGCTGGATCAAAGAGCTGTGCCTTTGGCTCCTCCATAAGCCTCCAGACTTCTGATGCAACCGTGGTGGCCCTTTGATCTTTGTGGGAGGGGTTACTTTCTCTTTTTTATTTTAATGAATTTGGAGAAACCTGTTTTGAGCATGGCACACCAGGTGACGTGAGCAGCTTCTGCACATTGTGGCACAGCTTTCTGTGATGACAGCTTGTTGAAATCAAGTCTGATAACACCAGTACGTAATTACCGGCTTCAGGAAAGCTGGAGTTTAGCCTTCTGTGTTGGTCTTGAAGGTTATGCTTAAAGATTGTGCTGCTTAAAGCTTATGTCTAGCTAAATGTGTGTTGTATGAGATAGGAAAGTTCGAAGTTTTCAAGTTAATTTTTAGGTGTTTTCTCCCTAAATTCCCCAATTTACTTGTAATCCAGCATTTCGCTTTCCTCCTCCCTATCACCTACCAGTTTGGTACATTCCCCAAGACAGTAGCCATGGGCTTTCGTTTACTTTGCTTTACAGAGAAATGGGAAATCAATCCCTCGGAACTGACCTTCATGAGAGAGCTGGGGAGCGGTTTGTTCGGCGTGGTGCGCCTTGGGAAGTGGAGGGCGCAGTACAAAGTCGCCATCAAGGCAATTCGGGAGGGCGCGATGTACGAAGAGGATTTCATTGAAGAAGCTAAAGTAATGATGTGAGTTCACAGAATCACGGAATCACAGACTGGTCGGGGTTGGCAGGGACCTCTGTGGGTCACCCAGCCCAACCCCCTGCCCAGGCAGGGTCACCCAGAGCAGGCTGCACAGCACCACGTCCAGGCGGGTCTTGACTATCTCCAGAGAAGGAGACTCCACAGCCTCCCTGGGCAGCCTGGGCCAGGGCTCCGTCACCCTCAGAGGGAAGAAGTTCTTCCTCGTGTTCAGCTGGAACTTCCTCTGCTTCAGTTTGTGTCCGTTGCCCCTTGTCCTGTCACTGGGCACCACTGGAAAGAGTCTGAAAAAGAGTCTTCGCTGCGGGAAAGGGCAGCACACAACAAAGCAACAGCAGTGCTGGAGCTCTGTTGTCTTCTGGCACCCCTTCAAGGTGTGGGACCCCTGCCTGGTGCTTTTATTTGCCAGCTCTTGGCCTCCGATGCCGTTGATTATAAGTAGAACACTTCAGTCAGGTGGTGTATTTGCAGTTTTGTGGGGTGGAGAGCCAGCGCCGGGTGGAGGAAGTAATAACGATCTCAATCTTTTCAGGAAGCTAACCCATCCTAAATTAGTCCAGCTGTATGGTGTGTGCACGCAACAGAGACCCATTTACATCGTGACCGAGTTCATGGAGCACGGCTGCCTTCTCAACTACCTGAGGCAAAAACGCGGAGTTTTGAGTAAAGACGTCCTGCTCACCATGTGCCAAGATGTGTGTGAGGGAATGGAGTACCTGGAGAGAAACAGCTTTATCCACAGAGACCTGGTAACATCTCCTAGGCCATACACTCATCTTCGAAATTCTTCTTTTTCAACTTGCCTATTCCTTTTTGAAATGGCCTGTTTGTAAATAACGGCTTCTGTTCTTGCAGGAAAATGTAAATAGTTGAAGTTGGTTCTTTAGCCTCGAACCCAGTCTCTAGAACTGCCCTGTACAGAAAATGATGAGAGGTTTCTCTCTCCCCAGGAAACGGAATAAAATCTCTCTGAAATTTTTATAAAGGGTTAATAGCTATTTGTGCTGATACAATAGTGTATCTCTGTTGTCTACTGGGGCAATCTTCACCACTCATGAATCCCTCAAGATGATGATTTTTTTTCCTGGCGATTTCTTTACATAATGGTTTCACAGAATCACAGCATGGTCGGGGTTGGCAGGGACCTCTGTGGGTCACCCAGCCCAACCCCCTGCCCA